AAAAAGAGTCATGTACCACAATGTTCATTGCAGCGCTATTTACAATAGCCAGGACATGGAAACAACCTAAGTGTCCACTGACAGATGAATGGATAAAGAAGATGTGGCACATATATACAATGGAATATTACTCAGCCATAAAAAGAAATGAAATTGAGTTATTTGTAGTGAAGTAGATGGACCCAGAGTCTGTCATACAGAGTGAAGTAAGTCAGAAAGTGAAAAACAAATACTGTATGCTAACACATATATATGGAATCTAAAAAAAAAAAAGGTTCTGATGAAGCTAGGGGCAGGACAGGAATAAAGATGCAGACGTAGAGAATGGACTTGAGGACACCAGGAGGGGGAAGGGTAAGCTGGGAAAAAGTGAGAGAGTGGCATGGACATATATACACTACCAAATATAAAATAGATAGCTAGTGGGAAGCAGCCACATAGCACAGGGAGATCAGCTCTGTGCTTTGTGACCACCTAGAGGGGTGGGACAGGGAGGGTGGGAGGGAGGGAGACACAAAAGGGAGGGGATATGGGGATATATGTATACGTATAGCTGATTCACTTTGTTATACAGCAGAAACTAACACACCATTGTAAAGCAATTATACTCCAATAAAGATGTTAAAAAAAAGTTATACTGTAGTCTATTAAATGTGCAATAGCATTGTCTTTAAAAATAATGTACAAATCTCAGCTAAAAAATACACTATTGCTAAAAACTGCTACCATGATTGTGAGAAATACATTTGTGAGGGGAGCTCAGCATTCTTGAAGAACTCTGTGGTTGCTTTTCTCTGCAGGTCAGAAATTACAGTAGGAGCTGATACCATTGAAATGAGATACTTAAATGCAATGGAGATAATGGGGTCCTGGGGTAGCAGAGGCCAAGTGCTGTCACTTAACTGCCAAAGACAAGATGGTATGGTTACCACAATGGAGCCAAAGCAGTGATCAGAATAGCCTAACTCACAGAGACCTGTGGTGTTGGCTAGTTCGCATCCCCAGAAAAGAAACAGATGCACAATCTACTAAATTCTTACTTGATCTGTCTAAGCAGAGGTGTTCAAATTAATTTTAAGCAACTCAATATTCACTCAAAGTTGTAATGGAAAACACTGACATTTGCTTTGTGATAATTTGGAGTCTGATGTTTTTAGTAGAGTAAAAGCTGCCTGGAAACTAATCCACCCAAGGATAAAAGATGCCTGAAATTTAATCCACCCAGGTGTCTTTAATTTAAGTCCAAGGCGAATGAGTTTAGGGGTAGTGGGAAGAAATGCTTGGGCATAGGAGGCAGCTCCACTGGGAAAGTTTTCAAAATGTTTCTTCCCAGATTAGATAGAATGTTGAGACAAATGACTTTATTCTCTACTATGGGCCTTGATCTCTCCCTGCTGTGTGCTGAGTAAACACCTCATATCAATTTTACAATTCACAAATTCTCTCTTTGATGGTGCCCACATTTATTTTGTTGCTTGAGTTTTTATTTCAACTTGCATATTTTTATTCCCAAGATTTCAGATTGGTTGTTTTGATATCAACCTATTCTTATTTCATTTCTACCTGTATTTTCCTTCTAAATTCTTATTCTTTTTTTATGGAAGTCATCCCTTCATTTATCGCCTTGAAAATCCAAAATAATTATTATTTAAAAGACATTGTCAAGAAGAAGTAAAGCTGTCACTGTTTGCAGATGACATGATACTATAAATAGAGAATCCTAAAGATGCTACCAGAAAACCACTAGAGCTAATCAATGAATTTGGTAAATTAGCAGGATACAAAATTAATGCACAGAAATCTCTTGCAGTGCTATACACTAATGATGAAAAATCTGAAAGTGAAACTAAGAAAACACTCCCATTTACCAATGCAACAAAAAGAATAAAATACCTAGGAATAAACCTACCTAAGGAGACAAAAGACTTGTATGCAGAAAATTATAAGACACTGATGAAAGAAATTAAAGATAATACAAATAGATGGAGAGATATACCATGTTCTTGGATTGGAAGAATCAACACTGTGAAAATGACTATACTACCCAAAGCAATCTACAGATTCAATGCAATCCCTATCAAACTACCAATGGCATTTTTCACAGAACTAGAACAAGAAATTTCCCAATTTGTACGGAAACACAAAAGACCCTGAATAGCCAAAGCAATCTTGAGAAAGAAAAACGGAGCTGGAGGAATCAGCCTCCCCGACTTCAGACTATACTACAAAGTTCCAGTAATCAAGACAGTATGGTACTGGCACAAAAACAGAAATATAGATCAATGGAACAGGATAGAAAGCCCAGAGATAAACCCACACACATATGGTCACCTTATCTTTGATAAAGGAGGCAAGAATATACAGTGGAGAAAAGACAGCCTCTTCAATAAGTGGTGCTGGAAAACTGGACAGCTACATGTAAAAGAATGAAATTAGAACACTCCCTAACACCATACACAAAAATAAACTCAAAATGGATTAAACACCTAAATGTAAGGCCAGACACTATAAAACTCTTAGAGGAAAACACAGGCAAAACACTCTATGACGTAAATCACAGCAAGATCCTTTTTGACCCACCTTGTAAAGAAATGGAAACAAAAACAAAAATAAACAAATGGGACCTAATGAAACTTCAAAGCTTTTGCACAGCAAAGGAAACCATAAACAAGACCAAAAGACAACCCTCAGAATGGGAGAAAATATTTGCCAATGAAGCAACTGACAAAGGATTAATCTCCAAAATTTACAAGCAGCTCATGCAACTCAATACCAAGAAAACAAACAACCCAATCCAAAAATGGGCAGGAGACCTACATAGACATTTCTCCAAAGATATACAGATTGCCAACAAACACATGAAAGGGTGCTCAACATCACTAATCATTAGAGAAATACAAAGCAAAACTACAATGAGGTATCACCTCACACCAGTCAGAATGGCCATCAGCAATAAAATCTACAAACAATAAATGCTGGAGAGGGTGTGGACAAAAGGGAACCCTCTTGCACTGTTGGTGGGAATGTAAATTGATACAGCCACTATGGAGAACAGTATGGAGGTTCCTTAAAAAACTACAACTAGAACTACCATACAACCCAGCAATCCCACTACTGGGCATATACCCTGAGAAAACCATAATTTAAATAGAGTCATGTACCCCAATGTTCATTGCAGCTCTATTTACAATAGCCAGGACATGGAAGAAACCTAAGTGTCCAATGACAGACGAATGGATAAAGAAGATGTGGCACATATATACAATGGGATATTACTCAGCCATAAAAAGAAATAAAATTATTTGTAGTGAGGTGGATGGACCTAGAGTCTGTCATACAGAGTGAAGTAAGTCAGAAAGAGGAAAACAAATACTGTATGTTAACACATATATAAGGAATTTTTTTAAAAATGGTCATGAAGACCTACTAGAGAATGGGCTTGAGGACACGGGGAGGGGGAAGGGTAAGCTGGGACGAAGTGAGAGAGTAGCATGGACATATATACACTACCAAATGTAAAATAGATAGCTAGTGGGAAGCAGCCGCATAGCACAGGGAGATCAGCTCGGTGCTTTGTGTCCACCTAGAGGGGTGGGATAAGGGAGGGTGGGAGGGAGATGCAAGAGGGAAGAGATATGGGAACATATGTATATGTATAACTGATTCGTTTTGTTATAAAGCAGAAACTAACACACTACTGTAAAGCAATTATGCTCCAATAAAGATGTTTAAAAAAAAAAAGACATTGCCAGTTCTATAAAGTCAATTTCATCTGAAATGAATTCATGTCCTAAGTTTTATTTCATTGTTCTTTCTCAACATTAGATGTTTCCAAATGTGCATTAGTTATTTATTACTGCATAACAAATTACTACAACACTTTATGACTTAAAAAGCACACGTTGATTATCTCACAGTTTCTGAGTCAGGAATCTGGGTACAACTTAACTGGGTCCTCTGCTTCAGAGTCTCTTACAGGCTGCAGTCAAGGTATTGATGGGGCTGTGGTCCCCTCGTGGCTTGTCTGGGGCAGGATCCATCTCAAGTTCATGTGACTGTTGGCATAATTCAGTTCTTTGTGGGCCATTGAGCCGAGGTCTTCAATCCTTTGCTGGCTGTTGACTGAAGACCATCCTCAATTCCGTGCCATGTGGGTCTCTGCAACATGGCAGCTTGCTTCATCAAAGTGTACAAGCCAAGAAATCAAGAGTCAGCTTGAAGATGGAAGTTACAGACTTTATGACCTAATCAAGGAAGTGACATCCTACGATTTGTGTGGCACTGTGGTCATTAGCCATTAGATCCAACCAATACTCAAGAGAAGGTGATTTCACAGGTGTGTCAACACCTGGAGGCAAGGATCATTGGGCGCCATCTTAGAGGCTCCTACTACAAAGCGTGTTTGAAACTTGTTTGCAGACTTACTTAAAGTGAGAGGTGTTGTGGTTTTGTTTTCACTTCTTTCTCTTCTCACCCCAACTCCCCACGCCCTGCTTCCTCCTGTCTAGAAGTTTTGTAGTTATCTTTCCTGCCCCACCCCCAGGCCCCATCCCATAGCAGTCATGGGATATCATAGATTATCCTCAAACCACAGATGACTTAAGTCAATCTGTGGTCTCAAATGCGGCATATACACTAAAACTGGAATGATACAGAGATGATTAGCATGGCCCCTGTGCAAGGATGACATGCAAAGTCATGAAACATTTCATATTTAAAAGAATAAGAAGGGCTTCCCTGGTGGCGCAGTGGTTGGGAGTCCGCCTGCTAATGCAGGGGACACGGGTTCGTGCCCCGGTCCGGGAGGATCCCACATGCCGCGGAGCTGCTGGGCCCATGAGCCATGGCCGCTGAGCCTGCACGTCCGGAGCCTGTGCTCCGCAACGGGAGAGGCCCGCGTACCGCAAAAAAAGAGAAAAAGAATAAGAGGGGGAAGGGGAGGGGAGAGGAAGAAGGGGAGGAGAAGCAGGAGAAGATTTGCCATCTCAGGACTGTGTCCATCCTCCAGTCTCTCTGGTGGACAATAGTTTAGAAGCCACAGCCCCAGGCAGCAAAGAGCAGTAGATATTTTTCAAGACCCAAGAGGACCCACCCTGGCACCTAACCTTGAAAGTGAGCGTGGCTCTGGTCTCCCATCTCAGGTGGGATATCTAGTCTCTGCTATCATATCCCCAGTCTCTTAATAGCCCATTTTCAGGCCCAGAACCCGACAAGGCCACGGCTACAGCCTTGCGTTCTGCATTCTCATTCTGTGTCTTCTCCATGGGGATATTTATCTTGATTTTGAGTCCAGCTATACTATTAACTTATTTGTTATCCACACTAGATCTTTTTTTGCTTTTTTGAACATAGAGGTTGCATCAATGTGAAAATACTGAACCACTGCTATCCAAAATCTCCTCAGCCTACGACCTCTACTCCTTATAAAACAGCAAAATCTCCACAATTGGAGAAAGTTGTAGAGAAGAACCAGAAAAAGAAAAAAGGAAAGGAAAAGGAGGGGAAAGAAGAGGAGAGGGAAAGAAGGGAATAGAAAGGTAAGGAAAAAGAAAAGAAGCGGTTACCCTGTTGCTTTTAATTAAATTGAAAGAGTGGGGGAAAAGTCTTCCTCCTGGAAAAAATGCATTGAAAACCCCCTTTCCCCTTGACTTCCTTTCATCAGGCCTTCATTTCACTTATTACTTTTGCTAAAGATAGCTGAGAAGACAGAGGCATTGGGAGAGTTTGTGGCAATCTAATGTGTCTTATTTTAAAATGTTTCAATATCTTTTATTGAATGTTGCAGTGTACTGAAAAAATTGAAAACTTCATACACAAAGAATAGGAAGAGGAGAAGAAACAGATTGAATATGTCGGTAAAAGAAACCCGTCAAAAGCCCAAGTGGTCTTAGTCCCACCACTGAATTCTGTATTTGGGTCCTGAAGGGAATGGCCTTGTTCGGCTTGCGGACCAGCTGCTGATGGGCCGTGTCATGTTGCATCAGTGAAACAGGGAAGAGGCTGCACGCGTGGGTATAAGGGAGGGAGGAGTCACTGAGGCAAAGTGCTGCTTCACTGGGAGGAGAGGTTAGTCCCCCCTGACCTGGCAGAGCTTCCTATCCGACCTTTGCTTGTGATGCTGCCGCTGTGAGGGTTTTAAAGGCTTTGTTCAAAGATAAATCCTCTCAAGTTTCAGAACAGACAAACCAGGATTCAGTGTGCTCAAATACAACGAAGACAAAAAGAATGTTTTCTTATGGGCATCTAGTTTTCATTTTATTAGGAAATTTGGACAATATTCTGTGATAACTAAGAACACAAAAGGAAAAAAAGAAAAGAAAACCATGCATGAGGACAGGCAAAAACGGAGCAAAGATGGAGCTGAATGGCAGTCAGTTGGATGTATTCATATCCATAAAACCAAACATTAGGAATCATGATTTTTGTTCAGCTGAGTTTACTGATTTGCACACTCAGATGCTGGGCTGCATACCTATATTTTCCATTAGATGTTTCCTATTAGTTTGGAAACTTTGCAGATGGGAAGACTTGAGGTACTAAAGAAAGCCAGGAAGAGAGTCCAGGACCATAGAATGGAGGAAAAACAAGCAGAATGGGAAGGAGGGAAGTCTTACCAACAGAATGGGTACCAGCAGCACCAGCCAATCTGGCAGGAGCATTGCTTCCGGCAGCAGCTCTTCTGCTGGCAGCAGCCCTTCCACCGCCACAGCTGCCCACGGTGTCGGGAGAGAGGACTCGGGAGAGGTGAGGAGGGAGACCCAGGAGGGGAGGGAGGTCTGATGCCGCCTTCTACGAAGCCCTTATGTACCATCTTGGGAGAAGGGGGAGGGAGCAACCCAGGACTCCTGACCAGTGGTCACTCCCTCGTTGTTGCCATTGCAGATTCCAAATGGGGTTGTCTGGGGTTATTCCTTGTTTACATTCTTATGGACTATATTTGACCCAATACATTTGCTAATTTTAGCTTTTCTCTTTAAAGTCATTTTAGAAACAAACCAAGAGATGCTAACATGTTGGAAGGGATCTTCATTTTCACAGAAACACAGCTGAATCTTTGAGATTTTGAATCAAGAAGGCACTTGATTACTACCAGCTCCTGTTCCGTTTCTCCTCAATGGTTTTCTCTCCAAATATTCAGTTGAAATCACCCTGCTTTAACAGAAACTTCGAGATGCAGATGAGTAAATACGAATATACAAATTGAAGAAGCTATTCTCTTTCAAAAGTTTCCCATTTGTTACTATTGTGTGCCTTCCACCTCATTAAATTGGCCATTTTCGTTCTTGTGAAGTTACATGTTCACGGCTATATTTCCAAAATTTTTGGAATGAAATGAAAATAAAATTTGTAAGTGAAATGACCCTCTTTTCTTTTTTAACCTCAGAAGTTGTCTATTAAAAGCCTGGATCCAAAGCTCTCCTCTCTCACTCTGCAATCTTTCCCTTGGTGCTCACATCCACACCCATGGTTTCCACCTCCACAGGTATATGCCTGGACTCGTTCCTTCAGTGTACACGTCCAGCTTGGAATCTTCTCCAGACTCCGAACTTAGGCAACTTGCAGTCTAGCTTCTCCCTGCGGGTATCTCAGAGGCACTTCCAGTGTCAATTGCCCCAGACTCAAGTCCTAATCTTCTCTGCCCACCCCACCCCCACAAAAAGTACATTTCTCCACTGTTCCTTACCCACCAAATTGGCAATCTATTAAAAAAGTCATTTTTGAATCCTTCCTTTCTCTCAACCCGTATCTAGTCTTTCACCAAATTCTGTTGATTCTGCCTCTTTAAAAGCTCTCACACCTATTCACATATCTCTGCTCCACTGTGCTGCTCTCCCCTGTACAAGCACCCCCTGAGCAGCTGAAATGCTCTTTGGTCCACATACCACAGAAATGGTTTGGGATCATTGACAACACCACAGTCAGCCCTGGGGACGACACAGCATTTCCTCTCACTCAAATTCCTGAAGAACAATCTTACCAGATTGGCAAAATGGGTTCTGAACAGCAAGCCTGTTGCAAATGAAGCTTGGGGGAAAGTCAGCCACCAAACATCCCCACCAAGGTCTCTGAAGTCTCAGTGATGGCTAGAGATGCTCCTACACCAGCTTGTGTGATGAATCGCCCACTTGCATTTCCATTTTTCCTACCTTATATTTTTACAGCTTCCATGTTGGTCACCAACCCTCAAATCTCACCAGGATCCACAACTACATGCTTTACCTCATAGCCACAGAGTCCTTTTTTTCCCAACTTCCCCTGCATCTCTGGCCTCTGCCCCTGCACTCCTCAGGGTACCTGCCCTGCTCTCAGAATCACCTAAGTCAGGCTACTTAGCATAGTGTTTCTCTCAGACATCAACTGATGTCGTATCATCAAAGACAAAATTAGTTCCTCATCCAAAGCTAAACATACCAAGAACGACATCATCAAAATTCAGACTCGCCAGAGGATGTATTTCGGTTTTTAAAATAATCATTACAGCCTGGGTGTGAGAAGACAAATCACAATGGTATGCTTCAGATGAAGAGGTAAAGAATAAAAGCTTCTAGCCTCAGCAGTTCCTACTGGTCACAAAGCATAATCATGGCCTCTGGCCTTGGCGGTGGACTTTGACTCTGTTGCCATTTTCACACCCCCATCTCCCAACATCACTTTATTGCAAACTCTTTGAGGTCAAAGATTATACCTTAAACTTCACTGTACTGACCCCTTGGAAGGTCACAGACCACCTGGCCTAGGGGCTGTCCAATGATGGGTATGGTCTGCAGACCCCCTGACAACCCACACACACAGTAATGTTCCCTGGGCAGTGAGGGATGATAGAGAAGTCTGCCCATCCCCGTTGACAGCCCGGTTCCCAGCATGCTTCCCTAGAACTTTTAGGCCTTTTCAAATTGCATTGGAATATAGTTTTATGAAAAAATTATCAAAACTGAAAATGTGATGAAGACAAAGAGATCTAAAAGTAATAAGAGATGATATCTAAAAGGGAAGTAATAAGAGATGATGGATTCTTCCATGTAAATCAAGCCAAATAGCAACGGGGAAATGATCATGTGTCTTCCCTCTCCTGTCCCCAGAGTCGGTATATAAGGGCCTCCCCCAGCAGAAGGCGGCATCAGACCTCCCTCCCCTCCTGCATCTCCTTCCTCATCTCTCTCGCGTCCTCCCTACTTGACACCGTGGGCAGCTGTGGCTGTGGTGGCTGCCTCGGCTGGGGTGGCGGCAGCTGCGCCCCGTGCAGATGCTCCCAGGTCGGCTGCTGCCCCAGCTGCTGCCCCTGCTGCTACGGCGGCCCTGGGGGCTGCTGCAGCGTCCCCGCGGTCTGCCGCCATCGCAGCACCTGGAGCCGCAGCCCATGTGGCTGCGGCTGTGGAAGGGCTGCTGCCAGCACCAGAGCTGCTGCCAGAAGCAACGCTGTTGCCGGGTGGGCCAGCTCAGCTGCTGGCAGCGTTTGCAGGGATTGGGTTTGTCTGTTGGCAAGTCTTTCCTCCAGCCCTCCCCGTCTCTCCTTCCGTGACCTGGAAGTCACTCCTGTGCACTCAAGGGTTGTAATCTCTGCCACATCACAAATTGATAATTTCAAAAGACCCTGCTATTGAGGTGAACAATAAGAACTGTGCAAACAAGACAGCCCAGCCACTGTAGACAATTCACATATCGAACAAACTTGAAAATCGAATCATAGTTACTTTTTTGCTTTTCTGAAATTCTTTTA